CTTCAAAGCAACCAAGGTGCTGGGCACAGGGGAGTCTTTCATAGTAGTGAGGCCCTGCAGGAGGGCAGGAACCACTCCTGGCAACCTGAGCAACCCGAGGAACAGTCAGAGTATGCCAGAGGAATGTCTCCTTAGTGCTCCCTCCATGCCAGCCAGGTGCTACGCATTCGACACACACTACTAACTCAGTTCACTCCTCCTCCTGAGGACAAAGTCTTGCTTTCTGTATTTACAGATAAAGGCAAAGTGAAGTCACCAGAGCTGGACTTGGTGGCACACGCCTGTAATCCCAGCACTCGAGAGGCTAAGGCAGGATGATCACCATGAGTTCAAGGCCAGCCTGTGCTACACAGTGAGACCCTGCTTCAAAACCACCACCACCAAAAAAAAAAAGTGAAGTGACTAGCCTAGTCATGATACAGTGGCAAGCAGGCATGGTGGCAAATGCCTGTGATCCCAGCTATGCAGGAAGCTGAGGCAGGAGGATCACAAGTATGAGGCCAGCCTGGGCAACTCAGCAAGACTGTCTCAAAATAAAATTAAAGGGAGCAGGTGGTAGGGCTAGGGACGTAACTCAGTGGTAGAGCATGCTTGCCTAGCACATAGAAGATCCTGGATTCAATTCCCAGTACCACCCCCCCACACACACACACCCCGGCAATGGTGCTGCCTGGCTGGGAAGCCTGTCCTGACCTAGCCCAGGTGCTGGCAGCCTTCGCTCTAGCGCTTCTGAAAGCAACATGAGACAGAAAGCTGTTCATCTATACCCAATGCTCACTCCCACACACCATTCTGATGAGAAGAGCCAACGCTAGGAGCAGAGACCCTGAGAAGTGACCGACATACAGGCAATCTGACAGCCAGCTCGAGGTCTCTCACCACAGCCTTTTTTAAAAATTTGCAATAATGGTGATCAAACCCAGGACTGCTCTACCACGGAGCTATAGCCTAGCATTTCTTCATTTTTTATTTTGAGGCAGGGGCCTGCTTAATTGCCCAGGCAGGACTCCAACTTAAATCCTCTTGCCTCAGCCTTCCAAGTGCTGGGACTGCAGACGTGCACGACATGCTGGCTCCTACCACATCTCTTTTTTTCCCCCCAGTACTGGGCAGGAGCAGCACCACTGAGCTACATCCCCAGCTCTCCTACCACACCTCTTAACCAAGTGGATCACAGCCAGAATTCGTCATTTCCTACTAAATCTTGACCTCTCATGGGCAAACACTCCCCTTAATTATAACATCTAAGTCACAAAATGTTCACCATCACCTGTAAATTTTAGGGCATCCATAAAATGGGTTTTATATATAATGAACTAAAAGCATAGAAAATAACGTGTCCATGGAGAAGAGAAGAGAGGAGAACAGTCATCAGTGAAAACAGATGAAAGGCAGGCCAGGCACCTGGTTCAGTAACACTGTCCTCACCTCACAGAGGCAGGTCACGTTCTACTACAAACCAGTGCTAAGGCGACAGGCCGTGATGACCACAAATTTTCCAGTCTGATTAAATGCACTGGATTCAACGTTAAAACACAGGCTTTTTTTTTTGGTACCGGGGATCGAACTCAGGACCTTGTGCTTTTGAGGCAGGCGTTGGAACCACTGAGCTACATCCCCAGCCCCACAGGCTTCTTTTTTAAAGGCATGTTACCTCAAAACGAGTCACCATCAAAACCAAGCATGATGGCACATGCCTGTAATCCCAGCACTCTGGGAAGCTGAGGCACAAAGGCCCTGGTTCCACCCTTGTACCGTTAATAATAATAATAGTAATAATAATTCTCCATTAACAATTTCCTCTTCCTGGGCGGGGGATTTAGCTCAGTGGTTCCGGTGCCTGCCTCACAAGCACAAGGTCCTGAGTTCGAGCCCCAGTACCAAAAAAAAAAAATTTCCTCTTCTAGAGGCTGGGACTATAGCTTCATGTGGAGCACTCACCCCCAAACAATACAAATCCTCTTTGTATTAAGAGTCATCGTTTCAGCACATATGAATTATATTACTGAGAGTCAACTTGGGACTGAGGAGACACAGAACAGACTTGAGAAAACAGCCCTGGGCGGACCCCACGTCCTGGTGCCCTGCTGTGAGGCCACAAGGAGGAAATGACTGAATGACCAGAGAGAGGCCAGAGGCAGGCCGCAGAGCACCCACACTTTTACAGAGAGAAACACCTCCTTTCCAAGTAGATGATGCTTTGCAAGTGAAGGAAAGAACTCCCCCAGGGGCTGGGGACAACAGTCTCCTCCTCACTCTCTTCCTGAGGGCAAAAGGCTCTGAGGCAGCAGTGAAAGCTCCACATCCCGCCTGGCCTGGTCACCTATGAGGACCACGCGGAAAATGAAGGCGTGGGGCTGCACTGTGACTGTTTTTAGCTCCAAATTGTTTGACCTCTTTCTGCATTGTGAACAGAATGGTGTTTTCACCCCAAACTACACCATGCTCCATGATCTAGTGGAGGTCTTGACTAGATGAAAGGCAGAGACAACACTCAGGACTAGGCTGCTCCACCCCCCCACTCACACCCATTCACTTTTCCCAGGGTGACAGGATTAACACTGCCCTGAGGGCCAGGGATTTAGCTCAGTGGTTCGTTGCCTGCCTCGAAACCCCAAGGTCCCAAGTTCGATTTCCGGTACCAAAAAACAAACAAACAAACAAATCCCTGCCCTGGCTACTGAGGGGCTATTAGGTGAACCCAGCTCCAAGTACCCCACACAAACAGGGTCACGGAGGGATTCGGCAGATGAGTAAAATCTGACTTAAATTAGAATCAGCCTTGTCCACTCACATACCTTTACGATACATAACGGAAGAAAAAACCTTTCTGATGAGTTTTGTATCTACCTCTCTGTTCAAACTGCCAGGCTGGGAGGTGATGGGAGTGCTCAGTCAGTGGCAGCACATGCTCAGCATGCCTAATCCCTGGGTTCAACCCCAGCACAAAACACACCACCGAAGCAAAGAGGAGGGAAAAGCAGTCACAATCACACCCTCAATTCCACAGTACTCCAGACTTCTTGTACTCTTGTAAAGAAACTCTGGGCATGGTGGCATAGCCCAGTAATGTTGGCACTTGGGGAGGTTGAGTGAGAGGATCTTAAGTTTGAGTCCAGCCTGGGAAACTCAGCAAGACCGTGTTTCAAAATAAAGCATAAAAAGGAGCTGACAATGTAGCTCAGTGTGAGGGCCTTAGGTTCAATCCCAACCACCAAAAAAAAGAATGGTAGGCTCAGCAAGTTTATGCCTATATCCCACCAAACCGTCCAAGGACAGCCCAAAATACAGTCCTGTGATATCTGCTGACTCAAAGAAGAGAACTCCAAAAAGGCTCCTTACTATCACTAACAAGGCAGAGCTAGAGATCAGGATTTAGGTGCATGTCAGAAATCTAAGTTCTGTGACTACCAAATATGTCCTTTTCCTTAGTTCTGTCCAATATATTTAAATATAACGTTCCTTATGTATGTGACAAAAATGTATCAAAAACTGACCAACTTACTCAAATGTTTGCTCACACTTTTAAAAAAAATTATGGGGGAAAAAATAATATATGGGGGAAGCGTGATGACAAGCTTTATGTCCTGGGTATTACACAGACAGAATTGACCTACAAAATGAAGATAGGGTCAACTGTAACCAAAAAACAGTATGCTTCCCCTGGCGGCCAACTCTGGAATGGAGGAGCCTGCACGGAAGAGAAAGCCTAGCCTCCCGGTTCCATCCTGTCACTCACAAATGAGAAGTGACGACCAAAAAAGGAAGGTGTGGGGGAAGGGAAAGTAGCACAAATACTAACATGGGTTTAACAGAAATACCAATCTGCGCGTGATGCTACATAAATATAAATATAAGCCAACAAACCAAAATTTAGAGGGCAAATATGGGAAAAGTCATTTATTTCAGAGAGCCCTCACCAGGGGATGTGTCTGTATTTTCCCCTCTAAGTACACCCCGAGCTTAGTACTTAATAACAGCCTGAGAGCAATCTCCTTTTTCGAGTACTAGATCCTTGCAATTTTCTGCAGTCTTGTTTCCAAGGAAAAGCATTTATTTTTTCAAACAAACTAGTGGTCTAACCTACTTAGAGAACCTGCAGCTCTAAAGCCCCCTACGCAGGAGGACCTTTCACTCCATCTTTACGAGCCTCTTCGGACTGTTATTCCTGAAACAAAACCCACGTCCTTTCACACGTTTTCTATACCCACAACCTCTAAAGTCTAGTCTCATACAGAGAAGGGCTAGAATCTCATGGACTAAAATCTGACGAATTCCTTTGTCTGACTGCATTTTTTTCTTGTACCACTTTAAATTTGCTTCCACACAGAACAGCAGTGGCAAAGGAAGTAAATGCTCCCTTCCAGGGTACAGGATTTCTGGTAGGTGGAAATCACTGGTTCGCTAAAGCTTCTGATGGCTCTATTCTTTCACGACCTCTTTCCCTTCTCCAACCCAGCCCACCCCACCCCCCATAAAGGTAAGAAAAGAAAAAGGAAATAAAGAACACACATACACGTTTATAAATACAAGATCCTAAAACCATACTGCCACACGCGAGCCTCTCCTGTCCAGGCAGGTACCCTCTGATTTGGGGGGGTCGTTGTACGATTGGTCTCCAGGACGGTGGGGGGCCAGGGTCAGCGCCGGGACCCGAGTCTGGAGCCTCCGTCCTCCTCCGTCCGGGCACTCCAAGACCCCGACCTTCGGCACTGTCACCCCTCGCCTGGCCCCCACTTGGGGGCGCAGCTCACCTGGACGCGGGCACCCCCAGGTGGGGCCGCCTCCCAGACCGGGGCGCGGGGGGTGAGGAGGGAGCCGAGGCGCCGACCCGAAGGGGGCCAGTAGGGCTCCCCCACGCGCGCCGGGCGTGCGGAACACGCGTGTGGGAGCGGCGCGGCCCCTCGCCCCGCCGCGTGCCCCACAGACCCCGGGGCTGCCACGCACGAAAACAAAGTTATGTCGGGGTCCCGCGGCACGGGCCGGCCGGCGCTACTCACCGGGGTCGAAGTCGGGCACCGCCGCCTGGTACTGGGGTCCGACCCGCATGCCGCCGCCACCTACGGGGAACAAGACGCGGTCAGCGGAGCGGGGCCGGGCCGGGCCGGGGCGGGCCGGGCCGGGGCCGCACCTACCGTGCTCCTCGTCGCTCGATGAGCCCGAGCTGCCTTCCTCCCAGGAGTTGCTGCCGCTGTTGCCATTGGGCGCAGCCGCCGCCGCCAAACTTTTATTCTGACCATTATTGGGGGCGGCGGCGGCCGAGGCGGCGTTGGCCGAGGCAACGGCGGCCGAGGCGGCGGCCGAGGCGGAGGAGGCCGCGGTGTTTCTCCCGCGCCGCTTCCCTGACACCTCCGGGCCCTTCTCCACCATGGCCGGCATCGGCGGGGCCCGAGGCCGGGCCAGGGCCAAGGCGGCGGGGACCCCGGCTCACGAGGACCGGGCGCCGGCGAGAGCAGGAGACGCGGAGGGCGCGGGGGCCGGGAGCGCGGGCGCGCGGACGCCCACCGGCGTGGGTCGCGGCCGCAGGAGGCCGGGGCGGGCGGAGCGAGGAGCCGCCTCAAGCCTTCAGCACCGAACAGAACGCAACTTTAGCTCCCATCGCTGCCTGCACTTCGCTGGCTCTAACTACTCCGGGAGCCGCGGGCGGGGGAGGGCGGGGCCTGAGCGGCTAGGGGCGGGCCGCGCGCAGCCTAACCCAGCGGGCGGCGGCTCCGCCCCCTCGCGGTCCCATTGGATCTCGTGGGATTTGGCTGGCGAGCGGCAGCAGGGTTGGCTGCGGCGAGTGTCCGTCAGGGGGGCCGGGGGGCGGACACGCAGGGTGGGGGAGGCCCCGCGCTTCCGTTGGTCGGGTTGGGTTGACGCGTATCGCCCACCGTACGTGGTTTGAGGTTTGAGATCGCTCTACGCCCCATGATCCATCTCTCGAGGCGACGGCGAGGACTTCGCCACCCTCCCGCCCCTCCCCCGCGGCCCCCGCCCGCCCGGCCGCCCGCACCCCGCGGCCCGGGCCCCAGCCCCCCCCCCGGCACACCGCGGGGCATCCCGTTGGCTTCTCCGCGTGCTGGGCGCGCGATGCGAGGGCGACTCCCGGCGAGGTCGGGACTACTTTCCCGCGCGCGGAGGACTACAGCCCGTTTGAATGGGCTCTATACAAAGACGGGAAACTAATTGGAGAAACTAATTGCGCCCCCGCCTTTCCCAGGGGACCCGGGGGTTCCGGGGACGGGGGCCGCGGAGCGCAGGGACGGGGCGCCCAGGGGACCGGGTCCCGGGGAAGACGGGCGGGGCGGGCTCGTCGGGGGGCAGGGAGGAGGGGGACGCCTCCCGCGAGCCCGGTGCGCCCCTCTGGGACGGCCCGCACCCCACGGACGCCTCGAGGATCTGGGCCCGGGGAACGGGGATGGGCCGACCCTGCCAAGGGACCCGGCTGACAGCTGC